ACTCGGCGCTCCTGGCCGCCTCCATCCGTGGTATGTGTTCTTAGAACTTTCCTTTGAGCCAGCTGTAACACCCTACTGTCTCTCACACTGATTAATGAGTTTTTAAAAATATATTGCCTTTAAAAAAGGGGGTGGGGTGCTCCTGGCTGGCTCAACTGGTAGAGCACATGACTCATGATCGTGAGTTCAAGTCCCACACTGGGCGTGGAGTTTACTTAAAGATAAAAAACTGGGCACCTGGGTGGTTCAGTCAGTTAAGCATTGGACTTGGGCTCAGGTCATGATGTCATGGCTCGTGGGTTTGAGCCCCGCAACGGACTCTGTGCTGACGGCTCGGAGCCTCCTTTGGGTGATCTGTCTCCGTCTCTCTCACTGCCCCCCACCCCTACTCGTGCGTGCGAGCGTGCGTGTGTGTGTGCGCGTGCTCTCTCAAAAATAAACACTTAAAATTTTTTAAAAAATAAGAAGATTAAAAGTTAAAAATTAGAATATTTAAGTTCTGTGTATTGAGAATTGAAAACTCAAATAATGTAATAATACTTCTTTACTTTCATTATTCAGTCATAATAAGATCACAAATTAGATCATGAATATCTTAAAAAATTTTTTAATGTTTATTTTTGAGAAAGAGAGGCGGGGAGAGAGAGAAGAGAGGCGGGGAGCGAGAGACAGAGAGAGAGACAGAGTGAACAGGGGACGGGCAGAGAGAACGGGAGAGACAGAATGTGAAACAGGCTCCAGGCTCTGAGCTGTCAGCACAGAGCCCGATGCAGGGCTCGAACCCACAAACCGCGAGAACGTGACCTGAGCCGAAGTTGGACGCTTAACTGACTGAGGCCCCTGGGCACCCCCCTCATGAATACCTTTTTCAATAAATAGTAGCAATATGGTAAATGATATAAAGGTTTTGTGTGAAAACTATATATCCAATCCAGATACAAATAAGTGATATGAACTCTTTCTGGGGTTAAAAAATTATTGAATTCCCATCTGCAAAGACAAAAAAAAAAAAAAGCCTTAAATGATTTTTCTCAATTTTGAAACCAAAACTTAAGGAGTGGCTGCTGCTGTTATTAACATCTGTAATATAAACTAAAATGTTGGTGCTGAAAAAATGAAATATTTCTACTTGTACAAGAGACACGATTTCACCTTTTCACAATGTATCTTTTAGTAGCGTGTACTTTATACCAAACAAGGGGCAGCTCTTTTCCCATTTCAAATTCTGAAAAGTAGGATCCAGCTCATTCTCTCAAGCATCCATGGATCATTAAAAAAACAACATGGGGCACCTGGGCGGCTCAGTCAGTTCAGTGTCCAGCTCTGGATTTTGGCTCAGGTCGTGATCTCACAGTTTGTGGGGTCGAGCCCCACGTCCAGCTCTGTGCTGACTGGGTGGAGCCTGCTTCAGATCCTCCGTCCCCCCCACCCTCGCGCACGGTAACAAACAAACATTAAAAAAAGAAAAGCCAACTCAAATACTATTCTAACGAAGAACTCTCCACACAATGAAACACCAGAGAGGAAACCTTACGGGTCACTCAGTTCCATCCTAACACAGTGAGGTGAGGAATGAGCAGGGACGTGGCAGAAGACAGAGATCAGGGAGAGAGGAAACACCTAGATATTAAGGTCATGGATGCAGTGAAAATATCAAATGTTTTTTGTTTTTTTTTAAGTAGGCTCCACACCCGGAGCAAAGCACAACCTGGGACTTGAACTCATGGATCAAGACCTGAGCTGAGATCAAGAGTCAGATGCTTGGGGCGCCTGGGTGGCTCAATCAATTCAGCATCCAACCTTGGCTCAGGTCATGATCTCATGGTTTCTGAGTTCGAGCCCCGCGTCGGGCTCTGTGCTGACAGCTCGGAGCCTGGAGCTGCTTCAGATTCTNTGGTTTCTGAGTTCGAGCCCCGCGTCGGGCTCTGTGCTGACAGCTCGGAGCCTGGAGCTGCTTCAGATTCTGTGTCTCCCTCTCTCTCTGCCCCTCCCCCACTCACACTCAGCCTCTAAGTAAATAAATATTAAGAAAAAAAAAGTCGGATGCTCAATCGACTGAGCCACCCAGGCGCCCCTCAAAGGTAAGTGTTTTAAAACTTCAAACTTCATTATCAAAAGAACATAAATAGTTCAATGGACTTATGGGAAATAACAGCAGCAGGATAAAAACCATAAAGAAAGTAGAAAACATATCAGGAAACTTAAATGAATGTGTCACGGGCTGGTCATTTGAGACTAATCAAAACAGGCAAAAACATCACGTTAGGTTTTTAATGGTGTAACCAAAGAGGGCAAAAATGGAAACAAGACTTGAGCTGTAAAAGCAGATGTTTTATTGCACGTCGTCTGCATGAAGTGCCTGTTTTGTGTCAAATAAGGTTTTAGATTTTTTAAAAAATCAACATACTACGTGTAACTGATCACAGAACCAAACCTGGCCGTGATCGTTTTGGAGGAAACTATCTCAACCTGGACACAAAAAGTGATGCTTTGCAGAAGCAAGGAGTGACTTTCTAAAAAGCTACTAAAATACTCTTCTTCCATTTATACCTGGACCCCAGCCTCGTGGATAAATTCGATCTTTGAACCGAAAAATGAATCTGTGATAGAGAAACCGATTCACACTCAGCAAATATTCAAAACCACCTACAACTCATTCCCAAAGGAACATCCAAGGCCTCAATTCCCGAGAGTGAGAGAGAGAGAGAGAGAGAGAGAGAGAGAGAGAGAGAGAGACCCTGCTCCGTAGCGGGAGGGATTCAGCGCTGTGATAGACGAATACTCCGGGCTTTTCGCAGGAAGTCAAGGACTGTTCAACAGAAGAGACTCTAATAATAGAATCCACCCCATCAATAGCTTAAGAAAAAAATCATGTAATCACAAAGGCAATTTAAAAACTTCACTACCACCTCCGAAGACAAAATTTAACGGAGGGAAGGCAGAGATATTTTTGTAAACAGGCTGAGGATTCTAAAAAAAGAGCTGGTATTAATATTGTAATTAGCGGAGAAATACCGCAGAGACACACTTGAAAACCAGGAGCAGAACAGAGGTCCCGCCGGAGGGCCGGGACGGGGCTGCAGGATCTGGGGGGACACAGGGCGGTCAGGGGACACACGTCGCACACGGAGAAGTGCACCACTTCCCAACTCATGCCAGGGCCGCCGATCAACAAAGGCGAACGAGGCAACACGGGTCGGTGATGGAAGCGAAGCCTCTGAAACCAGCAATGAGCTGCGGTTTCCACAAACAAAAATCAGCTTGAAAATACTGGAGAGAAATGCATGGCATGCCCGGCCCGGCCGCAAACCTGCCACCGCGCCAGCCAGGGACACACCCTCATGTGTGCGTGCTTTCCGAGAGCAGAAGGTCCAAACCTGGTCTAAGTTGAACGTGTAGATATTAAAATTCTCTCCTGGGCGGGGGGGGGGGTGGTTAGGTGTCCCCCGAACAGCAATTGACCAAAGACCAGGAAGTAACCGTGCGTGTGAATAACGCTGCGGGACGGCATTGCCAGGCGCGTGGGGGGGGGGGGGGGGGCGGGGGGGGGGGGGGGGGGCCGTGCGCATCCCCCAGCCCGTCAGGAGCCGAGCTGGGCTGATACCCTTGTCCGCGCAGGGATTCCAGCGTCTGGGGTCCCTCCACGCCCCCTTGCGACCCACCGCCCACCTGATACGTTCAGAACGTCCAGCAACAGTCTGGGCACGTGAACAAAGACTGTCGATCGGTCTTACACGATATTGACATACGCTTGAAGCAAGCAAGCCTCGTGACAGCTGGACGGGAATGGAAATGTGGTTTCGTGGAGGCGTGGGGTCAGGCCCACGAAGAAAGGGACTCTCTGGTACACAGCAGAAGATCACCTGAAAAGATCTAAGACACTGGTGCATCGAATGCACGGACTACCCTCTGCGAAAACACACGGAATCCGTGTTACTTCTGCCTGGGCATACAGCAGGAGCCGAATGACACAGCAGTCACCCGTGCTCTGAGCCAGGCTCTGAGCTGAGCAGCGTGGAGACCTCACTTCAGTCAGTGCCCGGAAGGGACTCCCAGGTGAATGCTGGAGACACTGAGGCTCCTCCCTCCCGGCATGTCCTGCTCCCCTCCCGGCCTGCAGACACCCCTGGGCAGGCCCGGACTCCATCCCCTCTGCCGGGTCCCTGACTCAGTTTCCCTTCTCCTTTCAGCTGCTGTCCATCTAGCTGTGGGCTCCTCAGGGTTTGCCCCCGAGCCTGGTTCCACAGCTCTGAAAGCAAGGCAGTGACAGTGACAGCGGCGAGATTAGCCTCAATGGTAAATCCTGGCCGTCGCAGGGGCTCAGCAAACCTCGCGCCTCTTCTCTGGATGCAGAGAAGGAACACGCCCCCCCCCCNCCCCCCCCCCCCCCACGTCCCTCCAGTGGCCGCCAGCCCAGGGGGGAGCAGGCTCCGAGGCTGGCGGACCAGCTGCTTCTGCCCACGTGGCTTCAGCAGAGAAGGCCTGGCCCCGCCTTCCGCCCCCTTCTGGGACCCGTGCAAACAGGGGTGACAGGACTGTGGGCGGAGCCACTGGAGCCACACGGGAGCCCCCCCCCCCCCAGGACACGCAGGGTCCCCGCACCGGGTCTGCTCACAACAGCGCTCACGGTCCCGCATGGGGCTCTCACGCCAGACACAGTCTGAAACCTCCGTTGAGGGCAGACGCGTGAACCCGCCCCCATCGCTCCCCACCCTGCCGCGTAACCCTGAGAAGGGGGGGGCAATGGTCCGGTCCCACACCTGTCCCACGCCCCGGCGGGCTCGGGCTTGGGGTGGCTGCCACTCCCTCGGCGCAGGCCCCCCAACGTGCCCGCCAGACACCGCCGGCCACCAAGCCAGGCACTCGCCTCGCAGTTTAACCCAGGTCCCTCTGGGAGCCCCAAGTAAGGCCCACCCGACACCTGTCGCCACAAATCCAGGCACCCCTGGGTGAGGAACCAAACCAGCACTCAGACTTCAGAGCCGCCCACACAAACTGACCTTCTTGGTGTAGCCCATGGCCTTCAGGACGGAGTGATTCAGGGTCTCCAGGGAGGCCAGGACGTCCTCATAATCCCCCATGTGGTCAACAAAGTAATCTGAGGGAGGGGAGGGCAAAGGTCAGGGGTCACGGGAGGAGGATTCGACCCGTGGGCCTCTCACGAATCCCACTGGGTCCCCGTGGCTCCCGGGTCCCATCCCCCGACCCCAGCTCGGTCCCTGCAGATCTGGGCACCTACCGCACAGCTCCTTGGTGTCCACGTGGCTGCAGAGAAAACGAGGGAGACTCGGGTCAGAGGCCTGTCTGCCCCACCCGCCCTCTCCTCCCCTCCCCCTCAGCACGTAGCCCCTTGCCCGTCAAACATCTGCCTTGCCCCTCCTCTCTTCCATCCTGCAGGGCTCACAGGTGAGGATGCAGCGGGATGCCCCTCCCCCTCACCTCTGCTTGAGCTCGCCCTCTGACCCCACGACCACTCATTTCCTCTCCCCTGCTCTGCAGTCCGTGTGTCCCGGGCACAAAGCACCAAGAACGGGGCTAAGTCAGGGGCTGGGACAAGGGAGCGAGGGGACAGAGGGGACAGGACCTAGGACAGGCTGTCCACAAGCCTCGTGCGACACGCTGCCCCCGGGCACCCCTGCCTGCCGGGCTCCCATGGCCCATTCCACCCGGGTTCAGAGGCTTTGCAAGCCCTGTCTTGGCAGCAACTTGAATTCACATCACACATCAAATGTTCTGACAGGTCCTGCAGAAAGGAAGCCTGTTTAATGGTGCTTAAATGAAGATTTTATCAGTCTTTCTGATCCATGTGAAGGGTCTGGGGCAGAAAGCCTATTTAGCATCCCGAGGAGCACAGTTTACAGCTCACACCACAGGGAATGCCGGAGAGAATAATCCTCGAAGTCTAATGCAGAACTCTCAAGAGTTCTGACCTTCTTTAAGGTCACAAAGCCACACGGTTAAACTCTCCGCCCGACGCGTCCTCCTCACGACCCAGCTGGCCCAACGCAAAAGGCACCATAAGGCTGAGGGAACCAAGAAGCACCTGCCTTGGCCCTTTCAAAGCCCCCTGGGGGGTTGCAGGGGCCGCTCAGAGGCCTCCATCTGTCCCCAGAAACGAAGCCCTTCACCGGGTCTACAGCAGGGAGCTGTTTTCTCAAGCGGCCTCCCTCGGACAAGGACACCTGGCCACCTGGTCTCCAGCCTGTGTCTCCCCGGACACTCTCAGCCCCGACCTGATCCAGGTCACCACCCCGTGCTGGGTCCCTTGCAAACAGGCTTGGTGGCAGCTCCTTGCCCAGATGTATCCGGCCTGTCTCAGGGGACCCCCAACTCATCAAGTATGCCCCACGCAGCCCGCCAGAACTCTGGTCCCCACCGCCTGAGCGGGGCCTGCGGAGGTGGCCCCGTGCGGGGCAGAGAAGGGGGCTGGGCCTGGGAATCCGAGGCCGCGGGGTCGGGCAAGCGTGAGGGGAACATACACTTGGCACTGGACTTAGGGATGGGCAAGGCCAGGGGGTTTGGTTAGTTCTGAGACGCAAGCTCGGGGGGCGGTTAGGAGGGGGTGAATTAGATACCGAGTTGGGAGTGGGGTTCAAGTGAGAGCTGGGATTAGTATCCGGTCCATCTGGTTGAAGACGGGACCAGTGAGGACCAAGGTCCCCGAGTTAACCTTGGCGCTGGGAATAAGCCCGGGCGCTGGGGTCAGAACGGGGTCGAGTTAGCAGAAGGGTGACGCCATTGCCCACGTCCCCTTTTCATTGCCCTGCGTACGTGGTGCAACTCGCCACTTGCGCTCAGAAAGAACAACCTTGCCACTACAATGGCAACCTGCTCACGGCTCCAGGTCACGGTGGGGGGGGGCGGTCACACCAGCCTGGCGGGGGGCGGGGCCAAACAGATCTGGGGCTTGGATCAGCGAGTGTGGGGGGTGTTCCCGGTCTCCTGCCCCTCCGGGGGTGGGGGGTGGGAAACGGAGACTGATCACTAGCTGACACGGAAGATGCTCCTCCCCACACCCACCGGGCGCCCCTACCCGGCCGGGACTTCACTCACTTGGTGTTGTCGGAGTCGATCGTGTGGAAGAGATCTTCCAGTTCTTTCTCATTGAGGACACCATCTGCGAAGAAGAGCTGGAATTCCTCCAAGGACAACTTCCCATCGTCTGTGAGGAAGGGGGGAGGGAGGGAGAGCAGCTGGCATCGAAGCGATAAGACATCCCCAAATCCCGGCAGTTCCCAGATCAACACACAAACCCCAGCCGGCGACTCTCCGCCAGCCCAGAGAATGCCCAGCAAAGTCCAGTTCACAGAAAATCACCGGCTTCTCCAGCTAATTCCCAAGCCAGCACATCAACACCCATTTACAGCTAATCCCCAGACCGACAGCTACTCCGGGAGCAGCTGGTTTGCTCAGGCTCATCACGGACTCGGGCTACGGAAGGGAGCAGGTGATCCTTTCTCCCTGATTCTCTCGAGCACCGGCAGGTGGGTGCTGTTTAAGGCAGGACCACAGCAACCCAGGCGACCCCCCCCACCCCCCGCATCATCTCTAAGTCCGGCACCGGGGTCCTGACTCGGGGAGGGGACACCCTCTTTCCCCGCTGCCCCATCCACAGGGCAGACCTCGGGCTCACACCTCGCCGCTGTCTGGGCCGGAGAGGCCACTGCGGACACCAAACCACAGGGGAAGGAGGGGCCAGGCCTGGCGGGGACCCAGCGCCGCCCAGCCTCTGTGGTCCTGAGATGGGAGGGGCCCCGCGGCCCCGTGTACCCCTGTCCCACCCCGTCTCACCCCTTCTCCCTCCGCTCGGGCCGCTCCGGGCACCAGCATCTGCCGGGCGGGGAGACTGTCCTGGGCTGGGGGGCAGAGGGGTCGCTGAGGGAGGGGCTCGCGGCAGCCAGGGGCTCCGGGAGAGGCTGGCCCCAAGCTGTCACCTCAGCACACCTGCCTGCGAACTCCTGCAAGCTGACCTCTGCCCCCGCTGCAGCCATGACCCTTCCTTAAAGCGGCCAGTTCCGGCTGCTCCTTAAAGGAGCCACGTCTGGGTGGGGGGGTGGAAGTGAAGGAGAGGGCAGCCCCCAGCCCTCCTTCCACTACTTGCAGCCAGTCTGCAGTCAAAGTCCCTGCAGGCCCACGTGCGGCAGGGCGTCTGCGTGGACTAGAAAGGGGTGCCCTCCTTGGATCGTGGGGGAGGGAGCCCTGCATCAGGACATGCTGGGTGTGGGGCGCAGGCTGGATTTGAGCCTCGTTCCATCCAGAGGAGCCAGCTGGGCCCAGCGCAGAAGTATTTTATTGTAGTTTTTAGGAGTTTTTTTATTTTTTTAAGTTTTTATTTATTTGAGAGAGAGAGAAAGACAAAGAGAGCTGAGCAGGGGGAGGGGCAGGGAGAAAGGGAGAGAGAATTCCACACAGGCTCTGCATGGCACGTTGAGCCTGACACGGGGCTTGATCTCATGACTGAGAACCTATGACCTGAGCTGAAATCAAGAGCCAGACACTTAACTGACAGAGCCACCCAGGTGCCCCTTTCCAAAGATTTTACTTTTCAGGTAATCTCTGCACCCAACGTGGGGCTCGAACTCGCAACCCGAGATCAAATGTCACAGGTTCCACCCACTGAGCAAACCGGGTCATTCTTGGATTTTATGGGCTCAGGATCACCCATCTCTGCTCCCAGAAATGGTACAGGGGCTCAAAGGAGGGCAAGATGACTAGCTCACCGGGGGAGCTCCTCACACCTCACCATGGCTTCCTTCCCGCCCCTGTAAGGCATAAAGTGTCAGGGGGATAGGAAGGTGCACCGAGGTCAGGGGCCAAGGGCAACCTCCCAGCGTGCCTCTGACATCAGGCTCATGTTTCAACATCTCAGAGGGAAATGAATTTGTAGCTTTCAAAAAGAAGGGGTGCCTGGGTGGCTCCATCGGCTGAGGCTGAGCCTCCAACTTCGGATCAAGATATGATCTCATGGTTCCTGAGTTCGAGCCCCACGTCGGGCTCTGTGCTGACGGCTCAGAGCCCGGAGCTGCTTCGGATTCTGTGTCTCCCTCTCTCTCTGCCCCTTCCCTTGTTCTGTCTCGGTCTCAAAAATAAACATTAAAAAATTAAAAACAAAAGGAAGAGTCCCCCTGAAACGAAGCAGACAAGCCCACCCCACCCACACATGCACAGGAAAACTGGCGTGGACAGGCCGGCGACCCCCGCTGTGTGGCACACAAACTCTACGCGGGCTCTTTCTCTTCCGTGAAAGCGGAGACTTTCCAAATTTCCTCTGGCAAGACCGCGGATAAAAACAGGAACCGCCGCGCAGAATCAGGGCAACACACGGGCCTCTAGTTATCCAGTCTTCACACGACCCCCATTTTACAAAGCAGTAAACCGAGGCACAGAGCACTTACGGGTCCCACAGCTGGAGCCAGGACCCCGACCAACGGGCTCCCAGTCCCTGCTCTGACCCCGACCTCCGGCCACAGGGCGGCCTGGGAGCCAAGGCCAAGTCTGCGCCCATTGGAATCCGACCGTGATCAAGGCTGCATGGGCGCAGTGGTGGGGATCTCTCCGCCTCTGGCCCCTCCTGCCTGTCCGGGCCCCCCATCCAGGGAGTCACCGCCAGGCCTCCTGAGCACAGTCCTCTGGGCTGACACTTGGCTTCAAGGTCCTGGCACGGCCCTAACGAGCCCAGATCAGCCACTGAGGGGGCAAACATCGGCCCGGGCCTCTGCGCAATCAGAGGAACAGCCCTGGACCCCCGCTCTCAGCAAGGACCCCGAGCAGGCACCGGCCGGCTGTGTGCAGGCGTCCTCACTAATTAGCACGAGCTCAGCCTCTGCACGGTGACCTTTCAAACGGCAGGAGTCTGCCAGTGTCCACGTCTCTGGAGAGGAATGCGCTCTGGGGCCCACCCCACCCACCATCCTTCCAGGCCCCAGACCCCGGACGCTCAGCCTCGCCTCAGGAGCCTCGATGGGTCTCTATCTCAGCGCAGAAGCTCTGTCCTGGGAGCCCACGGCACAGGCGGGCCCAGAGTGCTCGGCCCTGGGATCTCGGAGGCTTCTGCGAGGAGACCACGCCCGCCCCACGTTGCACCCCAGGGCATTTGCTCCAGCGGACGCCTGGGGTGGGGCCGGCGGACCTGTGTGAAGCCTCAGTGTGTGGGGTCTAGCTGCACCTGCTTCCTCCCAGCCAGACATGCTCTAAGCAAGGCCGGGCCGCATCAGAACTCTGCCTCCCCTGCCCCCCGGGGCCAGGGGTCTGCGGTCCTGTGCCTGCACAGTCTGGGCCTCACTTGTGTCATCTGTAAAACGGGGGCGGGGGCTTCTCATCCCGACAGGAGCACAGTGAGGCCCCATGAGGTGGACGAAGGTGTGGGTGCCTAATGGATGCTCGATGGCCGCAGGTGGCTCCCCGGATGGGCATGGGTGGGAACTGCACACGTGGGCAAACCATGGCATCCACGGCCACGGGCAGTGCTGGGCTCAGAGCCTCCCCCGGCGTGTGCGCCTGGGCCCCGCGCTGGCTCCACCAGCGCCCTTGGAGGGGGGATATAGCGTCATCACGCCCACTTACAGATGGGGAAACCGAGGCCCCCAGCTGAGTGGCCTGAGCTCACAGAGCTGCGAAGTGGCCGAGCCAGGACTCGAACCGGAATCGCTGTGAGAGAGAAGGGACTCCTCCCCAGAAGTGCCTCTGGAACTGACATCTCACACCCACATTAACCCTGGGACACCCCCCAGGGCCACTCGGCGGTGGCCAGGGAGACCCGAAGCCCCAGGAGGAGGACGGGCTCAGCCCCTGTGGGGGTCACCGAGCAAGGTCGAGGGAGCCCCAGCTGTGCTTCTGGTGGAAACACGGCCTCTGACGGGGTGACGAGTGACGAGGAGGAAACCCCGTCTGTGCCTGAGGGCGGCCGGCGAGCCTCCCACCAGGTGTGCGTACCGCCCCCCCCCCCCACCGCCACAAACAGACCCGGTGCCTATAAGGCCACAGACCTCTATGGGGACCTACTGTGCGCGGGCATCCAGGCCATGCCAGGGACAAGCCCCTAGTCCCGCCTGTGAAGTCCTCACGACGGGCCAGAGGGTCCCGGCCACAGCCCAGGCCACCACACACTGAAGTCGCCAGAGAGACGCCTGTGTCAGGGATCAAGCCCCTGGACCCGCTGCTCTGACCTCGGAGGCTGCTTGCTCGGAGATGCCACGACCCCTTCGCGGGTCCCTGAAGCCCCCCCCCCCAGCCCCTCCCTCCGCCCTGATCCCTACGGAGCTGCGGTGGAGAGTCCTGCGTCCCAATCGGCCTGGGAGGAGCCAGTGTCATGCCCGACGAGGGGGCAAGGGATGGAGACCCCTGGGCACTGACTTCCAGTCAGACCTGCGTATCCCCACCCCCAAGACCTCACGATGCACCCCCAATACCATGGGGGGGCAGGTCAGCAGTAGCCCCTGGAGGTCAGGGAGGGAGGGGTGCTGGGGACCCAGGTGAGAGCTGCCGCCTTCAACTCCAGCCCAGGCAGGAGGCGCCGGGGCCGAGGGCCCTGGGGGCAGGCACTGGGCCACCTGTCCCCACCCCTTCCCCGGCAGGCGCCCTGACACTTGATCAGCTATTTTCTCAACGAACAAAACTAAGCCTGAGCCTTGCTCGATTCGCTTTTTAAGCCTGTCGCCACATCTCCTGCCCGCATCTTCCCGACAGCCAAGGCAGCAGGCAGGTTAAGTGTTATCACCGCACTTCAGAGATGGGGAAAACTGAGGCCTGCAGAGAGACCCTGCCTTGGCACAAGTCCACGGAGAGTCGCTCTGGGCCCAGCAACGGGGACAATGGTGTTTATGGGAAGTTGTACTGAGTTTTGCTGCAACTGTGAGGCTCAGGCGGGCCTTGGGAAACTTGGTCATTCTCGGGCCCCCACCTTCCTCGTACAGGAGGGAGCCCCTCCGAGAAGTCAGGAGAAGCACGGTGTCACGAATTTGCTGGCCACAGCGACGTGCCACTCACATGGCTGGGGAGGAGGCAGGACGTGGGGAAAAGTTCCGGGGTCTGCAGCACAACCTTGACTGCCTTCGTGCAGCTGGGTGACCCTGGGCAAGTCACTTAACCTCTCTGGGCCACTAGGGAATTGTGGGAACAGGGGCACCAGCAGCGAGTGCATGAGGTCGCGGTGAGGAAAACATGCGCCAGGGCCTAGAATGAGGCTGGGGGCTTCCATAAAGGGTGGCTCGTGGGCACCCCCCACCTGGGCCGCTCTGGTCCAGCCCAGCTGCGTGAGGGCTGACGCACACCAGCACCTACTACACAAAACACGTCTCAGCATCACGGACGGCAATGTGTCGAATCCCTGCGGCATCCCTACTACGTAGGAACCGCGGGAATCCCCCGACACAGATAGGGAAACTGAGGCACAAGGCAGCGCCAACATGTGGGGTTCTGACTTCAGAGTCCTGTACTTGTAACCTTCAGGTTCGAGGCCACCCAGGCCCCTACCCCTAGGCCCTTCCCCTGAGGCATCGGGACAGAAAGAGCCAGGGCCTCCTTCAGGGCACAGCCTGGGAGGGAAACTCACCATTTTTGTCCGCGCGACGGAAAATCTGCAGGGAAGAGAAGTAGAGTCAGCGGGGGCCCCAGAGGGGCGGGCGCCCTCCCGCGGCTTCTGCCTCATCGTGAGATCCCACCCCCCCTGCGGTGGCCTGGGAAGCCGAGCCACCCCTCCCCGGGGGGAAGACCCCCCCCCGCGCCAGGATCCAGGGCAGGAGGGACGTTTCAGGCGGAGCCCCCCCAGCCGCCTGGGAGGAAGCAGCACCCACTCTCCTTCTGTGCTGCCAGCCTGCCCACGGCCACGCTGACGGCCACGCGTGCACACACGTGGACACAGACACGCTCACACACGCTCACACCCAGCCGCAGGCTCGAGGGTGTGCCACGCTCAGGAGCCGCGTCCTGTGGATGCCGGGAGCCCCGGGTTCCTCCAGGGAGGGGGCTTACGTCTCAACAGGGGTGTCTGCTAAGGGGACCTGGGGGGCCTGGGGACCGGACCCGCCAGGGGCAGGACTGGATGATTTCTCGGGTGGGGGAGTGGCCGAAGCAGGTCACCAAGAGCTCAGAAAGCCAGCCCCAGTGCAAGTCTCTGGCTGCTGTGGGAGAAACCCGAGCTGAGACCCCATAACCCCTCCTCCAGGTATTTTTGGGACCGGGGGAGCCTCGCTGATAAGAGGGGGAGGGGGATGCCCCCTCTGGCCATCCCACCTTCGGTTCTTGCCCTCAGGCCAAGGACAGATGCCCCCCCAATCCCTCTTAGTATCTGAGACAGTGACAAATTGAGGCAAGCAGTTCAGGAAGAGCTTCACAAACGTCACCCCCCTCCCTGAGCTGAAACCCTCGTCTGGGGTTCTGAGCCGCAGCCACTGAGGCAGGGGCAGAAGGGGAGCAATTATCAGAGCACCGGGCCACCCCCTCCAAAGCCCCAACTCGGGTGGGCGTGCCACACCCTTGCCCCTGACTGCAAAGTTCCCCAAAGCCAGGGTCCACCCCCATCCACCCACCCGCTTGGATGCATCAGACAAGTTAATGCTGCAGACCACGTGACGTGGCTCTGGGAGTCCGCGCCTCACCCCATTTCCTAGATAAAGAAATGGAGTCTCGGCCTCGCACACGCTAGCTTGAGGAGGACCCCAGAGCCCACTACGTGTACTGTGGGAGCCAGGAGGGATCTGGACAAGGCTTCTCTCCCCTCCAGAGCTATGCTGGGGTCCTGAGAGAGAGGATCCGGGGTGTGTGTGTGTGTGTGTGTGTGTGTGTGTGTGTGTGTCTGGGGGCAAGGCAGCCGCGAGCACACCAACACCCACGCAGCACAGCTCACCCCTCCCCGCCCAGCCCTCTCTGCCCGGAGCCAACTGTGGGTTCCAGGAGAGCCGAGAGGCTCGGAAGGGGAGAGGAATCCACGCTCCCAGCCACCCGTCAAACACACAGGCGCGACTCTCCCAGAAACCCCGCCAGCACTGGACCCTCATGGGGACACGCGCGTCCTAGGCTCTGCTTTTACCGGGTGGGGGTGGTGCCCAGGATCGAGCCCCCTGCGCCTCCCCCCACTCTCCCCCCACCCCCAGCAGTGAAACCTCGCTCCCACTCCTCGGGAGTGGATTGCAGGATGAGGTGGGCTTCCCAGCGGTGGTGGTTTGGGTCCTAGCGGGAAGGGGGGGCGGGGATGTTGGGTGGAGGGCGGGGAGCCCAGAGGCGTCCAGACTCAGAGCAGATGGGGGTGGTCCCAGCTCTTCTGAAAGGAGAAGGGGAGACAGGAGTGGGGAGGAGGCTTCACTTTCAAAGGGGGGGGGCTGGGGTGGGTGGAAAGGGGCTTTGGGGGTGAGAACACAAGGTCTCCGGGTCTACCGCCAGAAAGAGAAAAGGGGGACGGAGTTAGGGGCTAGAAGGGGGGGGTCTCAGAAAAGTAGCAATTCAGGCGGGGCCCCGGGGGGAAGAGGACGACGGGGCTGGAGGCGGCGGGCGCTCGCACCCCCGACAGCGGATAGAAGGGGAGGTGCGGGGCCGGGAAAGGGTAAGGGTTTGGCCAGCATAAAAGTAGGGGGGCGGTGGCCAGCGAAGGGCTCCAGGGCTCTGAGAAGGTGGGGGTCCCGAGAAGTGGGGGGAGGGGGCGGGCAGGGAGGCTCGAGGCGACAAGACTAGACCCGGATGGAGACCCGCCAGGACTGGGGAGGGGGGCTGGGGTCGCGCTCGGGGACGCAGAGGGGCCGGGTGCGGGTCCTGCTCTGGGCCGCCGAGGGGAAAGAGCCGGGGGTCCCCTGCGGGGGGGGAAGAGGGGGTCTCGGGGGTCCCAGTGGGGACGGAGAAAGGCGGCGTCGGGAGCGCCCCGGGCGGGAGGAGGGGGCTCGGGGTCCCGGCCGGCGCGTACTCACGTCCAGGATGACGGCGGTGCCCCCGCGCGGCGAGCCGGGCCCGGGGCCGGGGTCCGCGGCGGGGTCGGCGGGGGCGTCGGGGGCGTCGGGGGCCAGCGGCGCCCGGGGCTCGCCCATCCTGGCGCCCACCCAGCGCAGCAGCCCGCCCAGCGCCCGGCCCTGCGGCGGCGGCTCCCGGAGCAGCCTGTGCGCGCCGGCCCTGCACAGGCGCGCCGCCCGCTCGCACATCGCGCCGCGCCCGCCGCCGCCGCCCGGAAGCCCGCCGACCCCCGCCCGGCCCGCGGCCCGCCTCCGCGCGACCCCTCCCCGCCGCCGCCGCCGCCGCCCGCGCCGCCCCGCCCTCCCTCCCGCTGCCCCGCGGTCGCGGCCACCGCGGGGACGGGCCGGCACCGGGGCCTGGGCGGAGGTGGGGGGGCGCTCCGCCCGGACCCCGAGCCACGTGCCTCTTCTCCACCGCCCCACCCCCCTGCCCCCCGCCCCCACCCCGGGAGCCGGGCGCGGCGGCAGGGGGCTACCCGCGGGGGCGCGGTGCTGGGGGCCTGACTCCTGCCCCGGCCACGGAAGGGGCCGCCCAGTCTTTGTGGAGTTGGAGGGCGTCTGGCTGCGCGGCAGGGGGCGTCCCTCGGGGCTGTCCCCCGAAAGTCTCCCGCTGCCCCCCCTCCCGCAGGTTACCCCACCCCACCCGTGGCGCCGCCGCCGCCGCAAGGGCCGAAGCGCGGGTGTCCGGCGAGCCCGGAGCGCCCTCTGCTGCCTGCAGCTCCCGAGATCAGCGCCCAGGCGCGGGGCCTCCCCCACCGCTCCCGCGAGGGCCTGCCCGCCTCCTCAAACGGCCCCTCCCATCGCACAGCGCCCAGACCAGTCTGTCCCAGAGCACCCTCTTCCTCTCACACCCCATCCGTCCATCATCCATCCATCCATCATCCATCCATCCATCATCCATCCATCATCCATCCATCCACCCATCCATCCTCCCATCATCCATCTATCCATCCATCCATCACCCGTCATCCATCCATCACCCATTCATCATCCATCCATCCATCACCCACCCATCTATCACCCACCCATCCATCCATCCATCCATCCATCCATCCATCATCCGTCATCCATCCATCACCCAGTCATCATCCATCCATCCATCACCCACCCATCTATCCATCCATCCATCCATCCATCCATCCATCCATCATCCGTCATCCATCCATCACCCACCCATCCATCCATCCCTTCAGCCCCAGCGGGTCCAAAGGATGAGTTAAGGAGCATCCACTAGGTGCTAGGCCCGTTGGACGCACTGGGTTCCACTAATGGGCAAAACAGATGGGGCTGGGGCGTGCCCTTGGCCTCCTGTAACCTACATCCTAGTGGGCAGAGTCAGATCCGGGAGTGGGTCCAGAGATACACCAACCATGAGAGCTGAAGTGCCATGAAGAGATAGAACCTTGGGCCATTCACAGGGGGGAGGATTGCCCTGGTGGCTACGGGGCCTCGTGGCCGTGGAGGCTGCCTGGAGGAAGTGATGTGCTTAGGCTGAGAGAGTGGAAGGAAGAGGAGTCAGAGAGGAGGGAAAGAGTCCTGGGCGAGGGACCAGCCCCTGCAAAGGCCCTGTGGCAGGTGCAAGCATGGGCACACGAGGGACTGAAAAGCATGTGGCCGGGAGGGAGAGTGGGAGAGGGGCCAGGACTAGACTGGAGGGGTGGGGAGCGGCCCGAAAGCCTCCCCAGCATCTGTTCCCGGCACACAGCCTCCCCCACTCCCCTAGCACAGCCGGCCCCCCACGTGGGGCACCACCCCTTGTCCCACAACTCCCCCACCAGAGGACCTCCCACCCGGCCCTGTGCCCCGCCCCCCCACCCCGGCCCCCGACCCCTCCCCACCCCACGGAATCCTTGGGCGCACGAGTGGAGGCAGGCACTGGGTTTATTGGGATCTGATTCTGGAAGCAGAGCCTGCGGTCCTCCTGGCTCAGCGCTCAGCTGGCCCCGTGACCCCCGCTCGCACCAGCAGCTCGCACCCCAAATCGCAGCCTACGCTGGCCTGCAGCCTGCATTCCCGCCCTGGGCACTGCTCTGTGTGCAGGCCGCCCGGGCTCCCCACTCATCTTCCTCCGAGAGGCCCGCTGCGCAGGCTCGCGGCCCCTCCTGTCTCCCGCCAGGGGAGGCCCCCCCATCCCGCTCACTGGGGCGTCTAGCAGGGCAGTGTAATCTCCCTTCCTCTTTAGGGCCTGGGGCCGAGGACGCCAGGCCGGGTGCTAGGGTGGCTTCCCGGCCTCCTTCCGCAGCAGGGAGCTGGCCACCGCCAGGGCCCCGCCCTGCACGAACCGCACGAAATTGTCCCCAGCCAGCGGCCCCACGGCATACAGGCCCTCCCGGCGGGTGCTCTGGTAGGTGAAGGGGTCCACGTCGATGGGGTTCCTTTTGGCGCTCAGCGGCTGGTCGGGGTCCAGGGCCAAGTCAGCACCCGCCCCGGGGAGGAAGGAGAGGTCGGGGTGAGAGCCGATGAGGACCAGCACCAGGGCGACCCCGAAGACTTTCTGGAGGCCGTCGCGGTCCTGGAATATGGCCTGGCGGTCGGCCTTGAAGAGCAGCAGCCGGTGCTCGGGGAGGCTGCGGTAGCCCGCGTAGGGGCTGGGGGACAGGATGGACTGCTCGCGCATCATCTGGTGCACCTTGTGGTACTCGGGGTACAGCATCTTGGGCAGCTGGTTGAAGACCAGGCCGGGGTCGTCCACGGGCCGGCGGAAGGCGTGGATCACGGGGATGCCGCAGTGGCGGGCATACAGGACCGCGTCGGCCGCCGACAGCCCCGCGCCCACGATGAGGACAGGCTCCGAGGCCGGGGTCACCGTGCCCGCCCGCACGGCCGCCTCCAGGGCCGCCAGCTCGTAGTGGACGAAGGGCAGGGCCTCCCCGGGGACGCCCAGCCGCGCCGGGCTGTCCGACGTGCCCGTGGCCAGGACCACGTTGCGGGCGCACAGGGAGAAGGGCCGCCGGCTCTGGGCCTCGCCGGTCACGAAGCCGCTCACGTGGAAGAGGGGGCTGGGCTCCCGGCCCCCGGAGCCGCCGGACTCGGGTGTCCCCCACTCCACGGCCGTGACCACGGCGCCGGACACAAAGTTGTGGCCCAGGCCCTTCTTGGTCACGTAGTCTCTGTAGTAGTGAGCGATGTCCCCAGCGGTGGCCCGGCTGTTGCGAAGGCCTCTGGAAGGAAGGATTTGGGGGGGGTGGGTGTCAGAGGGAAGACTGGGGTGTGGGGGCAATTAAGGGGTTGGCGGGGGGTGCCCAGGCCATGGCGCTGGACCGTGGCTGTGCCTCCCCCGCCGTGGGACTCAGTTTACCCCCAGGAGCGGCCACCACCTCTTCTTCTGTCAGATGGAACTCATTAGGGCACCTCACTGGGGTCGGATTGAGAGTGTAGCCTCCAGAGCCAGGAGGCCTGGGTTCAAATCCCAGCTCTGCTCCCCGTGAGCTCTGTGTCTGAACACCCCCGTGCCTCAGTTTCCTTATTTGCAAGGCGGGGACGATGGTGGTGATGGTACCACTTCACGTGCGGGGTTAGATGGTGATGTGACCAGAGCCCTTACGAAAGAACCTGACAGGTAGTGAGTGACAGGGAAGAGTCAGCCGCTATCATCCCTTCCACGGACTAGATAACAACCTCCATGAGCATGGTAGGAATCTGGGGCGCCTGGGGGGCTCCGTCGGTCAAGCGTCCGACTTCGGCTCAGGTCATGATCTCATGGTTCGTGAGTTCGAGCCCCGTGTCGGGCTCTGTGCTGACAGCTCAGAGCCTGGAGCTGCTTCAGAATCTGTGTCTCCCTCTCTCTCTGACCCTCACATGCTCATGCCCATGCGCTCTCTCTCTCTCTCTCTCTTAAAATATACATTAAGATTTTTTAAAATAAAGATTAAATTTTTTTTTTTAAATATGGGAGGATTCCATTTCTATAAAGTTCAGAAACAGGTAGAACTGACCCGCGGGGTGAGAGGAAGGGTCTGTGATGGGGACCAGGCTGAGGGCTGCGGGGGCAGGGAAGCCAGCTCCTGGTGCTGGGCAGCTGACACGCAGGTGTTCACGCACTTTCTATAGGGAGGCGGTGCTTCAGTAAACATGAGTTTAAAAAGCACTGGGCACCGTCCCTGAGACGCACGGCAACAGCAGACGGTCTTATGATCCGGATTGTTCCTCCTGTTATCATTATTATCGCCGCCCCTCCCAGGGCAATGACCGCAGGGCCGGGACCCAGCGAGGCCAGGGTACAGGCTTGGCACGGTCTCGGCTCCTCTCTAGCGACCCGTGGACCTCAGGGGAGCTACGTTCCCCGAGTGTGGCCGCGTTAAGGAGGAACTCACTCAATGAGAATCCCTGCGACCCTGCGACCCCGCCCCCCGCACAGGACCAAGTGTAGCGCCAGCTCACACCGCGTCCCCTGAGGCTGCGCTAGCCTGCTTCTGAAACTGGAGCCCTGGGGTCTGTGGCTGTGAACTTGCCACTTGCCCTTCCCGGAGCCCAAATTGTTTCCGAGAACGGGGCTGAGGGGTTACCTTCAGGGTTCTTTCTGAGAAGGGCGTGTGGGACAGAAGGAAAGCCCCGGACCGGGCAGGGCTAGGAACAGCAGCCGGGGGGTAGGGAGGGCACCTGCTGTGGGCGTGCCCCCCCCCCCCAGCTCAAGGCCTCGGGAGGAGGAATATTCAGTGGAGAAGTGCTGGATCCGGAATATTACATGGCCATGTAAAAGGATAGCTTTGGACCCGGTCCTCGCCGGCTGAAATCCTGATGCCAGAACGTTATGTGTAAAAGTAGAATTCAGAGGAGGGGCACCTGGGGGCTCAGCTGGTTAGGCATCCGACTCTTGATCTCAGCTGAGGTCATGATCTCACGGGTTTGTGGGTGGGAGCCCCCGAGTCAGGCTCTGTGCTGACCGTGCAGTTCCAGCTTGGGATTCTCTCCTTCCCTCTCTCTCTTCCCTTCCCCCACTCGTACTCTCTCTCTCTCTCTCTGTGTCTTTCATAATAAATAAACATAAAAAAAAAAAAGACACGCAGGCTATAAAAAGGTACGCCTACGGTCACAACAAGCGACAAGTTCCTGTCGCTACACTAGCCTGGGTATCTTCCTACGAAATCTCCAGGGACGCAGTCTTTGTGAGACGGGGTTGCTGGGTGGGAGGCAGAGGCCCGTGAGGCCCCCCGGGGTGGGGAGGGAACAGGGCGTCACCGCCCCCGTGGTGACCCCCCCCGACCCTGAAGCACCGGGCACCTTCCTGCCTGGCTCCCCAGGGGCTAGGATTCATTCGTTCCACGAACGAGCCGCTCCTCCAGGATAGTGAGAAGTGTGCAGTGCGGTCAGGACGGAGCAGGAAGCAAGATGGAGAGACCCCCCGCCCCCTGCCGATGGGCGAGTGACAGGTAGGCGCGTGGGGCTGGGGGGTAGCCTGGTCAGAGGCTCAGGGCCGGGCCAGCTGTCACCTCCCGGAGGGGCTGGGATGCTGCCCAGGCGTCAGGGATGTGCGGGCCCAGTGGGCACCGGAGGGGAGTCCCGGGGTGAGCCCAGCCCCGTGTGCTCCTCTCCCCACCTGGGCCTCAGTGTCCCCCCCGCCCCCGCCCTGGAGCAGAAGGAAGGCAGCGTCAGCGGGCCCCTGAGCCCCTTTCTCTCCCGTCACCCCTGGCCACTGGGGCTTTCCGGAGCCGCCTCACCTCCGCTTCCTGCGCATCCACTCCTTGACCTGCAGGTCTGGGAGCCCCATCCACTGGCCTTGGCTGAGGGTCACCATGGAGCCTTCGATGGACTGTGTGCAAAAGGAGCGCTTCGGTTCAGGCCTCTCCCCCCAGCCCGGCAGGGGGCGGGGGGAAGGGCAGGTGGAGAGGGAAGGGGGGGGGTGGGAGGGCAGGGGGGAAGGGAGGAGGGACAGGGCAGGACATGGAGGAGTCCTGATCTTTGGGAGGCACTCTCTCCGCGGCCCCAGGCAGGATCGGCCCAGACTCCCTCTCAGCCTCTCCCGGCCCCACTCACATGCCAGGCCCCCCCAGGCAGGTTCCGGCCGAGGACCACGTGGGCGATGGCTCGTTCCTTCTGGTGCTTCCAGGTGAGAACGGACTCCATGTTTCCCCCGAAGTCTGTGTCTGGGCGCAGGAGGGCATCAAACAGCAGGGCCACGGGGCTTTGGCACCGGCCTTCGAGGCCTTCGGACAGGTAATCCAGGTCCTGGAGGTGGGGCGCAGGTCAGAGGGGCGACCGGAACAAGGCTGCCAGGTTCTGCATTCCCACCCTAATATCAGGGTGGTCAGACAAACTCGGAAAAGGCTGCCTCTCAGAAGCAGATAACGCACGGCAGCATGTTAAAGGCTCTGACAAGTCCCGCGGCTGGATTTGCCCATAGTTTTGCCAAACCCGGCATCTCTCAGACTGACTGGAGTAGGGACATCTTCTCTGAGGAGCTAGTGTCCTGCGCAAGGCATTCTGGAAGATGCCGGTCTAGACCAAACGCCAGCTTACTTCCTCGTCCAGCAGCTTGAGTGGGAGGGGCTAGGAGGAGGGGAAACTAGGTGGACAGTGGGCGGCCTTCTGGAAGGCAAGGGGTGTGGACCGGGGGTAGGTGAGCTGCTTCACGGTGACTCCAGTTGTGGCAATCGACGGCGTCCCCGGGGATCGCCGAGGGCGCCCTGGAGAGCGGGAGGGCGCCCCCGTTTACACCCACTGGCCTAGGGGACGTGAGGTAAGTGGGTGCCGTGTCTATAGCTCTCACAGCACGGCCCTGGTTCCTCTCATGTCCCTGCCTCCGCGGCCGCTCACGGTCCTCGTTTGGTCTTGTGTCTCACGAACGCGGGTTTTTCTTCTCGCCAGCTCCCCCCGCCCCATCCCCAGAGCTCCGGCCCACCTGGTCCAGGATGGAGACCCCCGGCGCCTCGGCCAGCTTCCTCTGGAGCAGCGGGTGCGGGTGGACGGCATCTGGCTTCACGTAGGGGGTGTAGCCAGACAGCAGGTACGACAGGCAGATGCCCGACGGACCGTTGCCTGAGGAGAGAGGGTGGGGTCAGAGGTTCCCAGGGCTTCGCCCCTGACCTGACCCATTCAACTGATTTGCTCTTCATTCATAAAAACATAACGTTTATTCATCCGGGAGCGTATGCCGGGCACCGAGCACTGCGATGGTCAGTAACAAAGCGGTGAATGGCCGTTGAGAGCCTACGACGCGCCGGGCGCTGTGCTGCTTTAACAGCAATCACTGACGTTTCTTACGACGTGTCAAGGGATTTTAATAACCGAATAAGAAGAAACTGACAGGTGCTCCGGCCGGACCAGGCCCCACACGGGGCCCTGAAGTGCGTGAATTCTCCCACCGGTCTTTCCCCGTAACATTCGTGAGTGCACGCTGCCCTTCTCCCCCTTTCATACTGGAGGAAGCCGACGCTCAGAGAGGTCAAGTAACCTGCTGGCGGTCACACAGCCACATGACAGAGCTTCTGAGATCACTAAGAGCTAGTCCTGTTATCCCAGGGCTCACAGTGTGGGTTGTCAGATAGACGGGTCATATGTTAGAGCACACAGATTACTCCGCGCTCCGCAGGGGTGAGAGCAGGGGGCTGAGGAGGGGTGCTAAGCCCCCTGCGGGGCCTCTGGTCCCTGAGCCTGAATGAATCACACTGCAGGCGTGTGGCACTTCTTGGGCATTTAACCTCGTGACGTCGTTTCTTACCTGGCTCTCCCCCTCCTCCTTACGTTGTGCCGGTGAGAATACTACTCTTCTGCGAAATGCCATTAGGACAAACCGTATTAAATCGCTGACGCTCGGCCGTTTTTGATTTACAGAAATGGCCATTTCAGGTCTCTGCTCGCGGCGGGGAGGGGACGCCTGTCTCCCACCGCGCAGACCCGAGGCAGGCGTCACATGCTCCAGGGACAGGCGCAGGGGCTGTGTGGGCTGAGGACAAGGCCTCCCCCCCCGCCCCCGCTCTCGCTGGGCAGCCTCCGTGACCGTTCTGCCCTGGGCCCCTGGGTTCTGAAGGGATTACAGGGAACGGGGCGGGGGGGGGGGGGATGTTGTATAAACTGCCAGGCACCGCACCAGGCACACAATGAGTGCTCAGTGGCTAATTTTAAATCAACAGTGGCAAAGAAAAGCCAGGCCTGCGTCGTCTGCCTGGCTCCTGGCCTTGCAGTCTAGGGACTCAGGGCGTCCCCACCCTCTGCCCGGGGCAGCACTCACCGATGATGACGACCGGGAGGGGCTCTGAACCGCCAGAGCCAAGGTGGTCCTTTCTCCCGTTGTTCATGGCTGTGGCTGGTGGGGGGCTCGGAGCCGGCAGCTGGCCTGGGGGCAGGGGAGAGGAAGAGCCACTCAGTGAGCCCTGGGTGTCACGCAGCCACTTCCCAGCTACGGGGTGTTGTCCTGTGGCCCTCTGGGTCAAGTCCAAGGTCCTCGCTGAGGCCCATCAGGATGCCGCTCCCCTGTTCCTTCTCCCCTCCTCACACCTGCTCCGTTCCAAACAGTCCCCTCCCCCAGCCCGGTCACTCCCCTGTCTGAGCTGCAGCCCAGTCTCCCCGTCTCACCAGTGGGCAGTGACAATACTCACAGCTTATCGTCCATCTTCTGTAAGGCCTCCTCGTCTCACCCCTGGGGTGGGAGGTGGGGTGCAAGCCCTGGCTGGCAATTTTGTGACAGCCACAGTCCCCACCCCAGTCCGCCCCTCAGGTCTGTGCAGCTGGTGGACTTTGGAGCCATCACCCGGCCCTGGCAAGGTGCTTCCTAGCTGGGGACCAGGGGCCCATTCCTGGCTCTCTCAGCTGTAAAATGGGAATAGCAGTCTCCACCCCGTAGGGTTGCTGGGGGCACACAGTGAGGTGACGGCCGTGAAGCACGGGCTGGAGCAAAACGAGCTGCCGAGAAAGGACCAGAGCTCACTGCCTGCTCCCAGGGCTCGGCTCGAACAGGTGGGCTCGTGCAGAATTGGGCCCCGGAGTAAGGAGGTTTGGAGAAAGGGCTTGTTAGCTTGCTGTCTCTGGAGCACCGGCGCCCCCTGCTGGCCGCAGGCCCACATTACCCGCAGCGACGTAGACCCCGTTCTTGCAGCTGCAGACCCTGAGGAAGGGTCCAGACTCACTGTCTCCACATCCCCCAAACCCCGCGAACGGCGGGCCCCCGGGCTCGCCCACGTCCACACCCTGCCGTCCTGAGGGCCCCAAGGCAGCATCCGCACGAGTGTGTGAGGAATGCGTGGCCGTTAGCTCTGCCCTGGCCACCTCCTGTGTCCTGCTCACGCTGCCCCATGCAGAAAGCTGTCAGGTATGATCCCACTTCACAGACGGGTAAACTGGAGCCTAGAGGGCCCAGTGTCACACAGTTGGCTTTTAAACCCAGGGCTAACTGGTGCCGGGGCTTTGCCTGGACATGCCGCTGGCCCGCCCCAGGGAGACCCGGGGCTCATACATGTACAAAAGTGAGTGGGTGGTCACATGACCCCGGGGCGGGGGGGTGGGAAGTAGGGTCACTGCCTCCAGAATTCTCCCAGAGGCGGCGGATTTCCACATTTGCATTCTCTGATTTGGGAAAGTGGGCAACGAATTCACACTCGTCCCCCCAAATCTTGAGTAGCTGACAAAATGTGATGGAGGCCAGAGTACGACCTCTGATGTGGGCAGAATGACCGAAAGAGCGGCCTGCACCCACCTGCCAGGACAGTGAGAAGACCTGGGGTCGCTCACCGCGCTCTACAGTTTGCGAGGAGCTAGCGCCTAGGTGACTGGGTCCGGCAGCCCTGAGAGGTGAGCCGTGTCACCTCCGCCTGGCAGGCAAAGCGAGACTCTGAGGGAAAGGACCTCTCCCGAGTCACACGGCGGGAAGGGACACGTCGGGGAGCACATCAGGGACTCCCTCCTTGGTGCTCTCGGGCCCCCTGAGAGCCACCTTCCTTGCCTTGGCTGGGGCCTGGGCCCAGGGCCACGGACACCCTCTGCGCCCTGTGGGCGAGCCTGGCGTCGCAGCAGCTGCACGGCCTTCTCCACCCTGGTTCCCTGCAGGGGCCGTGCCGTCTGCCTGGGGAGAGGATTTGGGGGTGGCACCCCCCCCCCACTAACAGGGACAACACGAAAGGCTAACGTTTCTGGACTTCTGTGGAGCTGGCCAGGTGCCAAGCGTGTTCTAAACACTGTTAACTAATTTGCTTCTCATTTAACGCGTGCACTGTTAGAGGTGCTCTTATGCTCGCTCCCATATTATAGATAGGCAAGCTGAGGCCAGCGAGCCCTTCCCCAGAGTGCGTGGGTATGACGGCTTCTGCCAGAGGCTGTTCCCAGCCAGGCTCGCCCTTCTGCCCTGTCCCCTCCGCTGGTGGGGAGGGAGGCCATATAGGTCTGTGTCCCCAACTGGCAGGAGGCAGTTTCTTACTAACCACTGGGCACTGGAGGAGCCTGGCGGCCCTGGGGAATGGGACTGTGGCTCCCGGACCACTTTCTCCTGGAATCTCCAAGCAGCTCCAGGACCCCACCCTCCTCGTTACTGTCCCCAGGAGTAACAGCAACGCCCCCTGCCCGCTCCCCCCCACCCCCCGAAATGTCCTTGCTGAAAGCTCTCTGTGCCTAATTCTCATGCAAACCCACTTCACTGACGTGAAAACTGAGGCTCAAGGAGGTGAGGCCCTGCCCCTGAGGTCACAGAGCCGGTGGTGACTGAACGAGGGTTTGGCACCCGTGGTTTGAGCCTGCCTAGACTCCCCAAAGCCCCCAGAAATGAGCACGCAGCCTGCTCCCGGAGGCCTGAGCACACCCACCCTGGGCACACCTTCACCTCTCTGGTCCCTCTGAACGTTCCGTCCCCCAGTGAAGAGAGGCACTCCCTGAGCCTTCTTACTGCTCTTCCTAGAAGGTTCAGACACCCATTTACCACCAGGGCTCTTGGGATCCAAGTCCAGTGCTCCCTCCCGGAAGCCTCTGGATCCACACGCATGAGGTCACGACCCAGGGGACACTCCTGTGTAGCGTCCCAAGGTCCCGAGCAGCCAAAAGCTCTCATGACCTCGTTAGAAGGCGACTGCCAGCTGACAGCAGGTGACCCGAAACCAGGTCCATTCCATTTATGCTTTTTAGTTTTGTGGTGTTGGGGACTGTCACCTGTATTAGGTTAACTTTTTGTTTGAATCCCCTTTCCCTCCCCCAAAGGCTGAAGGTGACAAACGCCAACAGCAAAAAGCTCCCGTGAAAGACTGACTGTAACTCCCAGAAACAAATCGATATAAGAGGAATGGAAGTAGCGGCCTCTGTAAATGATGTTACTTCGAAGTTCGCAGCACTGGCGCTTTCAGGGTTATTAACGCTTAAAGCTGCTCCAAGACTCTGAAGCACCTGTGCGGCTGCATTTATTGGGCACCTCTGGTGGCCCTCTGCTCATTTGACTTTGATGACCCCCCCCACCCCCACCCCGGTGCACAGAGGGGCTGTCTTGCCCAGGAATGTCCCAGACGATGGCCCTGAGTGCGAGCCCAGGCTGTGGGTAACTGTGTTAAAGGCTGCATGATGACAGTCGCCACCAAGAAAGTGATACTAGGCTGAGAGGCAGGGTGAAGGTAAGGAGGGTCCCTCAACACAAGTGCTACCTCCTGCAGCCTGGGCGCACCCCCCCCCCCGCACCTCCTCCCTCTGGAACCTCCCCCACCCAGAGCTCAAGAGTTCAGAGGTTCCCCAGTCCCCTGGTGCTCAGCACCCCAAGCCTTCTGTCAGACGCCAAGTGCAAGTGCTGGGACCCCGGGGGGTGGCCGGTGCATGCAGGCAGGGACCAGACAAGCTCCCCGCAGCACACAGGCTGGCCACGCCTCTTTCCTGCCAGGAGCCGCGTCACGTGGGCTGGGCGACAGCGAGCGGCCAGGGCAGAGGGTGCCAGGCACCCGGAGACGGGCATGGACAGGAGGGCGGAGGAGGAACCCAGCGGCGGCGGGCAGAGCTTCGAGTGTGGGCCTGTGGGCCACCCTGCCCGGCCACGCCCCTGTCTGCCGCCCCCAGGCCTCGCTCAGGCCACTCACCTGACCGGCAGGCCTTGGAGGGAACCCGGGGAGCCTGACCTGGCAGGCGCCGGGAGGGCCGGGGTCACGGAGCCACCGGGGAGCGGGCTGCCCTTGCCTCGTGGGGACCGAGGAGGCTGTGCGAGTCCGGAGGCGAGGGTATTTCACGGGCTGGGAGGAGGCGGGCGGGGGGCGGGGCCAGGAAAATCACTTTCATAAGCGTGAGTCAGCAGGGGCCCCTGGATGAATGAACTTGCACTAGACCCAGGAGCGGCCTTAAAGGGGCCCCGCCCCCGGGGGTGGGGGTGGGGGTGGTCAGGCTGGCCCCCACCCTGAGGCTCAGTCGGTAAACAGAGGATCCAGGGAAGCCCCAACCGAGCCAACCTGGTCTTTTCTCTTAGGAAGGTGAGGACCTTGGAGTGGAGAAAGGCACACAATCTGGTTGCACTTGGTACCCATTCCCCCCCCCCCCGACACTTCTCCACTCCGCCCCACCCGACCCAGTGACACACCTGACATCAGCCTGCCCAGGGTGAGACCCCGGGCTCTGCCACTTCCTGCGCAAGCTGCCTCAGTTTCCTCATCTGAGAAATGGGGCTGGCTAACGGCTCTCTCCCTCCTGCGGTGGGTGTGGTATGTAAGTGACATCATTCTTGGCTCCGTGGTTCACGTCTTTCTTTCTTCCTTATTCTTTCTCTGCGCACCTCACATTTTGCTGATCCTTACCTATTAAATTACTTCATTGTCCGTCTCCCCAGACCAGGATGTGGGTCCTGCGTGGGCAGGGGAGTGTTTCCGTGTCTGCTTTATCTCGAATCTAGAATGCTGCTCTGCACACAGTAGGCGCTCAAGAAGGAAGGCGGGGGGGAGACAGGGAGGCAGGGACAGAGTTGGGACAGTATTTGCCCACAGACCTCAGTGCACATCAGCTGTGATTTTCATTACTGACGTGCACGCCGCCCCCTCCATCCTTTCCTGGCTGGACGGCCTGTGGGAAGCAGGTGAGAACTCACCTTGCAAAATTAAGGGGGCACCGAGAACACTCAGTGACGAAGAAAATAGTATTTCAGTGCAAAAGCTTTCTGAAAACCCAAACCAGGGGTGCCCGGCTGGTTCAGTCGTGCGACTCTTGATCCTGGGGCCGTGAGTTCGAGACCCACGTCATGTATCAAGATTACTTAAAAAAAAAAAAAAAGTTAAAAAAAAAGCAACAGTGATGCACAAAGTGAAAGAACAACAAAATATTAACATTGCAAAGCCACACGGGCTCTGAAACCGTGCCCTGCCGAGCCACACTGGAGCCTGAGCAAAAAGAAGAATCAGAATCCTGATGCTGTCTTTATTTAACACTTTGCTATTTTTCTTCATCTTGGAGGCTTGGCATTACTCTTGAGTTTTAAAAATGCCGCAAGAACACACCCCTGTGGGTCTTGATCGTGGACCGGTTTTGGCGCCCCTTAGATTTGTGCCTGCGGTGATGTCTCCCTCCTGGCCCTGGTGGCCACAGGGGACGGGGCTGGGGTACGCACGGCATGGGGTGTGCCCAGGTGGCAGTGAGGCGGGGGGGGGGGGGACCAGGTCAGACTGTGAGGCTCTACTGGGGACAGAGTGTGGTGCCCACCAATGAAAGATAACCTCTGAGGACGCAGAGTCCTGCTCAGACCAGCAGGGACAGACGGGCAGACAGAAGACACAGAGCGGGGAGGGAGGCGGGGGGAGGGGGGAGAGGCGAGCTGGCACACGGAGGGCCGGGGGTTGGAGGGTTTAGCGGGCAGCGTGAAGAGCAGGGTGGAGGAGGGAGAGCCTGGGCTTAGGGAGGAGATTAGGGGTCCTGAGCAGGGAAGGTGGCCACACAAGGCTACACCTGAGGGGACCCCCTCCCTCTTGCCTGCGCTCTCCTCCTTGGGGGCTCATGGGTATGTGCCCTGTGCCTAGGACCCCACTTTCAGAACGGCCCTGGGTGTGGTTTAAAGCTCTGCTGTCGCCACTGTACAATCCTTATTCATTTTTGAACCAGGGGCCGCGCAGATCACATGATGGGCTGGACTGGGCTGCATGGAGAGTGCTGGGCTGGGTGAGAGGGGCCCGGGCGCGGCCCCCTGGGCTGGGTGATTTCAGCTAAGGCGTGGCCCCCTGGAGCCTCACTTTGCCCACAGGGAAAAGGCACCACAGTCCTGGGCCCCTCGGCAGCAGTGCTCGGCGGGGTGACACGGTGCATAGCAGGGGGCTGGGGGGGGGGCGCTTCTAGCCCCTCCGTGGGTGTGCTGTGTGCCCTCGGCTGGGGCCTCCCTCTCTGGGCCTCTGTTCCAGCCGCGGCCTTGTTTCCCACACTCCCCGACACTCTGAACGAGCACCCTCCGGGCACCAGGAGCCCCGACGGCGACGGCCCGGGGAGGGCGGCTTCCATGGAGGGCAGCTACGCTCACCACTATACCCCCGACGCAGACTGGCTCCCACGGACGTACCTCTGGCCCAGGCCGCGTCCTTCGCCGGCCGCCTCGCAGTCTCCGCTTCCCCATCCCAGGGCTCCGGTCTGGAACTTCCAGTGTGTTTGGATGCGTAAACTGAGGCAGAGAGAGACACCCCGGGGTCAGAGGCTCCCCCTGGAGCGTCTCAGCCCACGTTGGGCGAGGCTGAGGTTTAGGGTCTGGAGAGGAAAGCCCGGGAAGGAGGTGGGCACCCGGTCCCCCATCACTGGGGCCCCCATCCTTCCTCCCTACCTGCCCTGCGCCAACACCCCCCCCCCGCCCCCCAGCCCTGAGCCCTTTTCCGGATTTTGAAAATTTGCTGATACGGAGAACTGTGGGCGAGATGTGGACTTTCTTCCCTGTCGCCTGTTTATCTGCCAAGAGATTGTGGGAAATAGAATGTGTTGAGTTGCTTCCAAAAAGCTTGACCAGGACAAAGACCGATAATGTCATGGGCCACAAAGGGATGGAGGTCAGGGGACCACGGAGAGGGAAGGCAGGTCTGTGGAGGCCGACTCTGGGTGACCGGCTCTCTTGGACTCCTCGGGGCGCCCCGTCCCCTTTAGCCTCTGAACCCAGATTTGCTGGAATGGATTGGAAGGCGTCGCAGATACAGATACGGGCACCCAGGCGACGTAACTGTGTATAAGAAATAAGCTTTAGTGTCAATATGTTCCGTGCAATATTGAGGAGATACTTACACCACACAATTTTTTTTCATCATTTATCTGAAATTCAGTTAATTTCAACCCCTCTTTTATTTGGCAAATCTAGCTGTTAAGTGTAAAGTACACTCGATTTTGAAGAGTTAGTACAAAAAGAAGAAAGGAAAAATGCCCCATTAGCCATTTCTATATGGATCGTGTGTTAAAATGAAAATGTTAGAGACGCCTTGGGTTAAACGGGACAGAGCATTGAGATTATGGTCACCTGTTTCTTTTTACGTGCTTAGCGCCGCGCCGGGAACAGGCACACATGTGACTCCTGTCAGGCCTCTACTGGACGAACTGCTAGCTGGCCGTGTAGACCGGGACGTTCCTGGATTTAGCAGCGCAGGTCCCGAGAGCCCCGCTGCGTTCCAGGAACACGCTCAGTCCCGGGAAACCACAGCCGCCGGGCGTGCGGAGCGCGGCAAGCAGCGGGCCCGTGTGACCTGGGAGAGGGTTTCCCTTCCCAGCCTCAGTTTTCCCATCTGGGCACTGGACTTGCAAGGTGGTGACCGCAGAGGGAGGGGCCCAGCAGTAGGGAGGGGCTCAGACACAGCAGCCCCCCGCCAGCCCCCCACCCTGCAGGGGCTTGGGAGCTGGGGAACCAGTGGAAGGGAGGACTGGCCAGCTTCAGGGTGCGCCCCTGGGGGTCCTGGAATTGGGAGGCTCCCCTGTCAAAACCACCATGTCTCTGCCCCCACCAAATCCTATGACTGTTCATTCCCGGGGGCTGCTCTGGGCCCTTCGGCCTCCCTTCTCCCTATGGCGGTTCCCTTAGCGCTGCCACTGGCTAGTGGACAGGATGTACTTTATGCACGCAGCTGAGGCTCAGAGAGGCCAATCTTGAGCCTGAGGTCACACAGCATGAGTGACAGAACTAGGGCTTGAACTCGAGGCTGGGACTGCAGGGTCTGGACACTTCCAGGGGAAAGGGGGACAATGAGCTAACAAAGGAACAAAGTCTCCTTCCCGCCCGGGAAGAGCAGAAGCATGGCCTGGGAACTCTCCAGAAGGGCCTGCCTGCCACCACGGCCACCCTTCTTTCTGAGGTGCCTGCCCTGTAAGGGGCTTCAGGGACTGAGGCATTTAATCTGTACACGAGGCCAGTGAGGAAAGTCTGCACAGGACCCTTACTTTCCCATTCTACAGGTGAGGAAGCTGAGGCCCAGAAAATGTAAGACGTGACCCCAAGTCGTGGCAGGCGGTCGAGTGGGACTGCGGCTGGCTCTCCCAGCTGCCCTGGCATGACGGGACCTGGCCCTTCCGGCACGTGACGCTAGAGCTAATATTTGCTTCCCCCATTTACAGAGCTTTACCGCCAGCTTATCGGTCTGAGTCCTCACAGCCAGGGGCTGGGCAAATATTTTCAATAACAAGTTTAGTTTACAGATGAAGAAACCCAGGGGGACTTGCCCAAGGCCACTCTTCCCAGTGTGATGAGGGGCGGAGGGGAATCAGAATTGCCTCTCTATCTGTGAGGGCCCAGACACCCCAGGACAGTGGTGTGAGCTGTCCAGCGTGGGTTCGTGACCCGGGGAATCACCGCGGGTGCCTGGGGAGATGAGGTCAAAGCTGGGGGAGGCCAGGGCCCCCTCCCCACCCACGGAGGGGGGGGGTCAGGAGCCACAGGCGGAGTGCAGGGTGGGCCCCCAGAGGAGAGTGTGCCCAGGAGGAGAGTCTGATGGGGGGCTCAGCCCCATCCCGCGGCCACATTCTCTGCCTCCTGATGCACCCCTGCTTCTCCTTAAAAACCAAGGGGAAAGTTACAGCGGGAGAGTGACTGCCTCTGCCCTACGGTCAGGGTGGACAGGGGCTTCAGCCCAGGAATCGGACAAATGGGGACTCTGACCCCATCACGTTCCGCTGTGTGACTTTGGGCAAATGACTCAACCCCTCTGAGCTCCCACTGCCTTGCATGTGAGATGCAGCCGTGTGAGCAGAACTGAGCAGCCCCGCTGCACAGGGGAACGGCCTGGTGGGAACTTAAAGCTATAATAACTCCCAGGCCTCGGTCGCAGAGAAGCTGACCTCGCTGGGCTGGGGGGCAGCTGGCTCCGGGGAGTTTGGCCAGCAGTCCCCATGTGCAGCAGGGCCGGGAGCCTGTCCCCGCAGCGGCCCGGGGAGGAGCAGCGTCAGCAGAGCGGGGAAAAGCCCCTGGCCCGGGGAGGCGCCCCTCCCGCCCCGGCCGCCGGTCCTTGGTAAACCGCATTCCTGTGCAGCTGCAGGGGTGGTCACGAGGCCTGAAAGAGAAACCAGGACTGCAGGCGCTTGCTGGCGGGGGTCTGGCCGGCGTCCCCAGGAACCACCGACTCAACCGCTGGACGAGCCTCGACGTCCCCTTACTCACCGACCGCGCGCTGCTCGGTTTCCCCGGCTCGGCTCCGTGCCGCTGACCACGCGTCTGCGCGGCTCTACCGCGAGCCCGGAATTCCGGGGGACCCCCACGCGGGAAACGGCCACGATGGGCCAGGAGACCCCCTCCACCCCCACCCCCCTCGCGAAGTAGCCGATATTAACGGCCACGGCTGTGAGCGACTTCCGTGCCCGCTGCTGACCTTGGGTCAGCGGGTGGTGGCGAAGGCCCCGACGGACACACTCCGCGGCCTTCGAAAAGCGCAGCCGGGGAGCCAAAGCCGGCGTGGAAGTTCAGGGTGATGGGAACAGAAGCGGACTGGAAACAGCGGTGATTCCTGCCTGTCACATGGGCCTGGGGGCAGCACCCGGGAGTGCCTGGGGACAGCGGGGAAGTGAGGCTGATGACAGGGGCCGGGGTCTCATGGGTTTTTGGGTTCCCATTTCTTCACCTCTGTGTGATAAACAATCATCATCATAGCGTAAAACCACGTTTTGAGACAAGGACCTTCCGTGGTTTGTTCATAGACGTACCGCAGGAGTCGGTGCGGGGCCCGGACGACCGCGCTCGCTCAGTAAGTACGCGTCGGACAAATCCGTGAATCCCGTGGCTTTCAGGCTTTCCGGGTAGGCCCTTAAATCACGGCTGAGCATGAAGAGAGCCCTCCTTATGTCACAGGCGTATGGACTGGCATGCCGTGGGTCCTCAGGGAGCGGTGGACACCCCTCGCCTCTGTGCGGCGCCATTCGGACATTCCCGTTCTGGACAGTCGTTCCCGCGGAGCTGCTCGTTTGCCAGCCCCCAGCCCCACTCCCTCCAAACATCCTTGGGGGCGCTGGTTCTGACCCTGTGCTCCCCAGACCAGCAGCAGCAGTGCCTGGGAACTTGTCAGAAAGGCAGAGGCTCGGGACGCCTGGGTGACGCAGTCGGTTAAGCGTCCGACTTCGGCTCAGGTCATGATCTCACGGTTCGTGGGTTCAAGCCCCGCGTCAGGCTCTGTGCTGACTGCCAGCTCAGAGCCTGGAGCCTGTTTCAGATTCTGTGTCTCCCTCTCTCTCTGACCCTCCCCTGCTCACGCTGTCTCTCTCTCTCTCTCTCTCTCAGAAATAAATAAAACATACCAAAAAAAAAAAAAAAAAAAGAAAGGCAGAGGCTCAGGCCCCCATCCCGGCCCCACAGCCTGCATTTTCACAAGGCTTCTGGGTGATTCTCTCCAAGTTTTGATCTGCTGCTGAAGGAAAGGACGAGAAGTTCCATCAAAGGCTCTTCCTGTGCCTGCAGACAGTCCTCTGACTTGACCGCACTTGGGGGTGCGGGTCCCCTCCCTACAGGCTCTACAGGCTGGTAATCTGTAAGCAACCTGCGGTCTGGGGCTGGAGTTGCAGCACCGACTCATCTCTCGGAAAACTGGGGCCCCGCCTGCTCATCCCTGCCTCTGAGGGTCCTGCTGCTGAACTGCAAGCCCCAGGCCGCTGGCACGCTGGGAGGTGGGCCTGCAGCGGAAGGAAGCCCCCCAGACTCCGGGCTGCCGGGGACGTCCGGCCAGCCCTTCCAACAGGCTTCCAGGCCCTTCCGTGCAGCCCCTTCCAGCCTAGGTTTGTGGTCCTGGGCGAGAGGCCGGAAGCAGCCCTGGGGCTCCTGAGCTGTTCTCTCTCTGGCATCCGTGGCTGTTGCCCCTTGGCCCCGGGGAGCAGGGGGCATCACTGTCTTTGTTACATTTGGCCCACGTGCTACTAAAAAAAAAAAAAAAAAAAGCCTTGTTTGCCACCGTTATCGGGTTTTACAAACTCTGGGGGCCTTGCCTTCTCGGGCAGGTGGGGTCAGGGCCTCCGTGATTTAATTTAGCATCATGTGACCAGACCCTCCCGGAGGCAGGACAGGGCAGAACAGCCGCAAGAGCATTCCGCACGTTTCTCTGCAGAGCAGCGCCCAGCACCAAGTCCTGGGAAGAGGGGGAGGCGGGGCTCCGGACCCTGTCCCCTCCCCACCCCCCCAGGGCCACAGGCCTGCAGTCTCTTGCGAGCTTACACCTGGCA